GTCGTCGTTCTGTTTACAACGGCAAATCACAGATTTTCACGTCTTTTATACAACGCCTGCATTTCAAGGGGTAACAAGTGCAACTTAAATTCGGTCAGTAGAACTCTTCCCAAACATAAAGCCAATGTTTTCAGTTTGAAATACTGTATTAAATTCATACGAATTATAGTGTTCTTTACTATCATTTATTTGAAGGAATTTGTTTTGGCCATCGTCGTCGTGTTGCCGTCCTACATGCTTAAGCTCCCTATTACCTTGCTACTGCTGTTGTTTTGTGCCTGTGGTCGATAGAAGACATGATGACATGTCATTTGTCTGACTTCTACAAAATAATTGCATCAAAGTAGAATTAAACGGGCAAGAAGAATTTATACAAATGCGGTTATGAACACAAAATTCCCAAGTGTTCGTTATTTGTACATATATTATATTTCTGTAATATCTATACTAACGTGAAATTTCAAGTGGCCCATTACAGGACCGTTTCTTAATTTTGTCGCAAATTACCATAACAAATTGTATCAACATTTACTTTTCCGTGCTTTAGGGGATTTTGCCGTGTTAGTGAAAGCTGGCATGACCGTGAAACAAGCGATAACGTACAACATGGTATCAGCTGTAATTTCATTTTTGGGTATGATTGTTGGAATACTAATTGGCAGTAATGAATCTTCCATAGTATGGGTTCTTGCCCTCACTGCTGGAATGTTCCTGTACATCTCGCTCGTAGACATGGTAAGTATATTAAAACCAAATTAAAGTCCTTTCATAAAACATGTAATAAAAATAATTAACATTATTATTGAATGAGGTAGAGCATGATATCACAGATTAAGACCAGATGTGTAACTTCAATAAAAAAGTTGTCCCACGGTCGCCATCTTCCTAGACAAGTATCGTTGGCGTGATAATTTGTCTTTTGGTAATACGTCTTGCTTTCAACAACTTTAATTGCTTTCAACAACTTTAAACATTCAACATTGATTGTTTAATTAATCCAAAAATTTCGATCCAAAGTGCAAAATGTCTTGTTTTTCTATTGTGACGCCATTTTGCCAGCAACTATCATGGCGTAAGCATGATGTGTACATCTAGGGAAATTTGAGGACACGCAATCCTATTAAGTTACACATCTGGTCATACTAAATCTTATACCTGTCACGTTTTAGGAAGAGTTACTATTTTTTGAATATGTAATTTTGTATTCTTTTGTATTTTAAACTTAACCCCAATCCAAACCCTAAACTTAACCCTTACTCCAAGCCTAACCGTAATCTTAATCATAACCCTAACCCTTTCCCTAATCCAAACCCTAATCCTAACCCTAAAAGTCTAAAAATAGTAACTGTTCCTAAATCGTGACTCATATGCTAAATCTGTGATGATATGACTGAGCACAGTATTCACAAATTCCTTAAAAAGGCACAGGCACATAACGTAACATACAGAAAATGTCCTCGTAATAATTTAGTACTGATATTATTTCCAGCTTCCCGAGTTGTGCACACAACTAGCCGAAGAGGATTTCAAAACTGGTTTGTGGACATTCTTCTATCAGAATTTGGGTATTATGACCGGGGTCCTAATCATGTATCTTATCTCGTTAATGGAGTGACGCACCATCATCGTACATCACAAGAAACTACAGATTCCTGCCATTTTGAATGGAAGAAGTGGTTTTGGAATAATACTTCCAACTCTTAATTTTACTGCTGAAAAGGAAACATAATGGAAAATATAGAAACTATAGAAAAAATTACACGCGAAGGGCTTCAGATTGGACCCAAGATGGTAAAGGGTCTTCAAAGTCTATTCTGAGAATACATAAAAAATCTGGGAAATCAATGTGATTCGGGCCACAGTCAAATGTGAAGATTTTGGAATGTTAATATTAATGTATTTTATTTAGTTTTATATAGTAAAGACGCTATTAGTAATATTTTAAACTAATTATGTACTAGATTATCTCTATCGCACCATAGTTAATAGAATAGATGGTTTGGAAACTCATTAAAATAACAATTTAACTCATTATCTATGTTAGTCAACGTTTATTCATAAATCGTTGACCGTCACGTGCGTATTGTATTTTTGCCCAACTAACCAATAGCAATGTTTTAAGAAAGTTGGCTATCCGTGACTCGAACAATAGGGTAAATAGAAAATTGCTATTGGTGGATTTGGCAAAAATACAATAAACACGTGACGGTGAATGACCATATTTATGAATAAACGTTGACACATATAACATAGATAATGAGTTATATTGTTAATCTAATGAGTTTCCAAACCATCTATTAAATATTCTATTAACTATGATCGCACTTGTTTCCATTTGTAGAATGTGTGTGAACTCACTGATCTCAAAATATGACTGGATTGAGTTGCATTGTTTGTTAAGATCTGTTAAATTCGAGTTTCTCACTAGTTGTCAAGTAGAAATCCATTTATGACCCACTATCTGATCAAACGTACTTAGTTTTGTTCCCAAGGATTTTTAAAGGACTACTTTCACAAAAGAAACAGAACCAATAACCAAAACAAAAAATGCAACCAAAGGGATATTCTCTATCTGAATGCTATTTTCTCGCAGACAGATTAGCCGAAATATAGAAGCAATGAATAGCGCGAACATTCTTCAGAAGAAAAATAATGTTTGTGAACGTTGCCGAATGCTATTTCTTGCAATTTTCGAAGGAAGAGACAAATTGTTACGTTAGAGAATGATTCAATGTCTTTCACGAAAGGAAGCCAACCGTAAACATGCAGACGTAGACGCTGCCTTACCGGAATATACATGTCTGCGTCCGTACGCTAAGTCGTCTAATTAAGACAGTTTATCTTTACGCAGCAAAACAGCTCCACGCTCTATTGGCTCGTGTAGAGGTTCGCGAATAACTTGAGTCAGTGCGCATAGTATACAGGCCATCAGTTATATTTTGAGATCCGGGAAGAAACCAAGTTGGGGAAAATTCTCCCCAGTCCCCATGTAATATACAGCTAGTCCAAGCAACGTATTTTAATGATTATTTTAGGTCATTTGATAAATATAATTTATAAATTCGAACGAGTATATTGTTTTCCTGTGGCGAGGATTGGTTTGATCCAATTTTGTTTTATTGATAAAAAAGCATAAAGACTACCAGTATATAAGGCCTCCATGTACCTTGCTCTCGTGCGGCCCCAGCTAGGACATTCAACTCAGGTGTGGGCCCCGCAGATCAATTAGATCTGACGATAAATACATGTATGCAGCAACCCCTCGCCTATATTTTTCAAACATTGATTTAACATGAAGTATAATTAATTGATCAACACTGAACGCAGGCTAGTGTTTACGTCAGTGTTGCCATGGCAACACGATAATTTTAAAAATTTATATATTTAATTTTAATTTATATTATTGCTTTTAACTATATAACAATGAATTTCCGAAATATGTACTGTAGGTATGTCGTTTTGGATTTTATGAGCTTTGATTTAATGTAAAATTTACCCTGAATCACTTCCTAAAATGTTTTGAAATGTTCATTTTAATAACTAAACTGCTTTGCCGATAAACTGTTTTTTAATACTTCAAATTGTTGGTAATTTCAGTTAGGTCTTCAAATTAATTTGCTTTCCTTTACATTTTACATTTTTTTTCTTAAATTAAACAGGATAATTTTGGAAACTTACAGCTTCATTGAAAAGGAAAACAGCAGTGCATGTTTTACGCAATAAATTATTAAAGCAACAAAATTCATAAACATTAAACATTCAAAGCAAACTTGCCCAATATTTCACGATTTTCCATAATAAATTAATTCTTCTCATTTCTTCAAACAAAAATTGCTTCAAAGCTAATAGTGTAAAACGTAATTTTCCAAATATATGTTTTTGAAAATTGAAATCTTGCTTTAATATCCTCAGTGTGCTTATCACACTCCTGGCAAACAGCCATATTTTTTAGATCAGTGAGGAGGTCCACCCATGAACCATAGTCACGCGCCCGCGATCATTGGTGAACTTTACACTTCGCTAATACTTTTCTTTCCCCGGGTGTAAATAGCCGGGCGGAATTAGTACCCTCACCCTGGGCTAACGCCCGGAAGCGCCGTTAATTGGCTCCGGGATTAGAAAAGTGAAACGTGTCCAGCGTCGTACGGCTAAGTACATACTAAAGTTGCCGTTCTCCTGTGAACAATCGTATAAAAATAGACTTCTTGAACTAAAACTTCTCCCATTAACCAACGGGCATGAATTTTTAGATATGTTTTTCCTCAAAATTGTCAATGGACTCGTAGACATCAACCCAGACTTTACACCGGAAGTCCGGAATGCACGCCCTACTAGATCTACTAGTAACTGTCCAATACTTTTTCCGCAAATGTAAGAATTCCTCTACCTTTCAAAAAAAAATTAACAGGTCTTCCCGTGTGTGGAATTCCCTAGCAAACACTATTGACAATTTTAATACTACTGGGGCCGATTGTTCAAAGCTGGGTTAGCTTAACCCTAGGTTAACTTAAAATTCAAAGCAAACTTCCTGACAGCTTGTCTATAAATTTGGAAATATTTCTTCAGAGATCTTGTCTGGATCGATAGGAACTCTGAAGTTTTGAAATAAACAGACGTACGGAAATACACAAACTAAAACAGCAGGTTAAATTTTAACCCAGGGTTAGCGCTAATCCACCTTTGAACAACCGGCCCCTGATCTACGCTTCTTCCGTAGAATTCTATCGTATGACCCTGAAGACACACGCACTTGGAAAACCATATGTATGCATGTCGTGCAACTCACCACGTAGCCTAGTGTCCTCTATAGTATGTTGTTTCTAGATATTTTTTTATTATTTGTATATTAGCCATTACTTGTGTATTTTATGTGTTGGGGCCGTAGTAAATGGCAAATGTTGCAACTCAAATGTTGCCGAGATCTGGTATGAAGAGAACTGTCATGGCTTCTTGAACAACGTTCGCTTACAATTATACTATAATCCATCACTATATAGAAAAATACTGTAGTTTTTGCTTAAGTTAATAACCGTGCATCGTGACTTATTTAAATACTTGACAATACATGCAAACCTGGATCATGAAAACAGCCCCCAGTAGCAGTGAAAATCGCCATATTGTGTTAAAATCGGCTTTCGAGTTTTTCAAATATTTAAAATAATATTCAATTGTGTTTTGGTTATTACGCGAACATTTGCTCGGCAGAATACGATTTTCGCCTTTGTATAAATAAAATAGATGCGTTGAAGGAAGACATTTAAGTGCTGTTTGCGGAAGCGTGCCAGCCCTATAGCATTTAGAGCTGGGCCTGAAAACTATGGGACATTTGCTGCAATTTTACACAGTTTGAAAGGCGTAGCGCCCCCTCCCCCGTTCCCTCAGTTCAATGTTGGGCCGACCGAATCCGATGTCTAGTTGAAAGACGCCAACATTCAAATGGGTGGGGGGAGGGAGGGTGGAAAAAATGTATGTGAAAATTGGATTGTGCCAATGTATATTGTCAAAGATTGTTGGTATAAGAGAATACAAAAATGAGATTATTGGTTACTCACTGGCGAATTTAAGACGAGAGAAAGGCCAACGATGATCGTATATTTAGGGTGTCGTACCATTATACCCGCCATTGACATTCTCATGCTGTCCTAGTTTTTGTAAATTGTAAATTAACCTAATGTAAATTAACTAGGCAGTGTTTACATGAGCCTAGGCCCCTAGCCCTGTCAGTAGCAATAGCCCTGATTTGCAACAATCACATTACAGTGGAAAAAAACATAAAAATATATATGATTGAAGGAATGGACAACGCCAAAGATATTACTCGACATATACACGACATGCACACTATTCTTGATTTATACACGAGACAAACGTCACACAAGAACAACAACAAATATGAGGTTTGCTGGGCGTTCAAACAGAACAACAAATGAGCGACATCAATGGGGCCGGGGGAAATTTGCGAATGTACAATGTGTCTTAGGACAGGGAATATTTGACCAAATTTGCGGTAGTGAGAGAATTTTATTACAAGTTTAAATGCAATTTCACTGTACAATGAAAGTTGTCTGGGATTATGCCCATGAAAAGCAATTGGGGTGTATGACACCCTATACAGACTGTAAAAACCTCTCCTCGATATACTGTAGTATGCCTATTTGTGTTATTGGCCACATGACGTGTATAATTTGATAAATAAAGCAATTTATGATGTATTGCTCAGCGGCGGCGGAACAGATTTCATTCTGGGGGGGGGCTAAATTTTTTTCCGTGACCTCCCCCCCTCCCCCACCCGTCGCCAAAAAAATTTTGGTCAGTGTACCATTTTAGGGGT